TCGCTTGCATGTATTTGATAGACGAAGATCCTAAAACCTACCAAGAAGCTATAAATGCCTTAGATTCTAGCCTATGGAAAGAAGCTATTAAAAGTGAGCTAGACTCCATAGTTATGAATCAAACCTGGGAATTGGTAGATTTACCTGTAGGAAACAAACCTATTAAGTGTAAATGGATYTTTAAAAGAAAAATGAGACCAGATGGTAYGATAGAAAAATACAAAGCTAGACTAGTAGTTGTAGGTTACACACAAAAGTATGGCATTGATTACTTCGATACGTACTCTCCTGTAACCAAGATTGCTACGATTAGATCTTTGATAGCTTTGGCTGCTATTCAAGGCTTARTAATACATYAGATGGATGTAAAAACAGCTTTCCTCAATGGTGATTTAGAAGAGGAGATTTACATGACACAACCTGAAGGTTTTCTRGCTACTGGTCAAGAAAATAAAGTTTGCAAGCTAAAAAAATCTCTCTATGGCCTAAAACAAGCTCCTAAACAATGGTATGAAAAATTTAATGGCACTTTGGTAAACAATGGTTATAAAGTAAATTGCTCTGATACATGTGTTTACTCAAAGTTGTTTGGAGCTRATTGTGTGATAATATGCMTGTATGTTGATGACRTGCTCATTTTTKGTTCAAACTTAGATATCATTAATGAGACCAAGTTACTCCTTTCTTCACATTTTGAAATGAAAGATTTAGGAGAGRCTGATGTAATACTTGGTGTAAAAATAAGGAAAAATGAYCATGGATATTCCTTATGTCAATCACACTACATTGAGAGAATGCTGAAAAAATTTGATCACTTTGATAGTTTATCTGTAAGAACACCTTATGATGCCATCATGAGTCTTAAAAAGAATCAGGGCGAGAGTGTATCTCAATCCGAATATGCAAAGATTATAGGTAGTTTTATGTTTCTAATGAATTATACTAGACCTGATATTGTATATGCGGTGAGTAGACTAAGTAGAACCCATGAATGGGGGATTGAAAATAACCTTTACGACCAATTCTGCACAATTCTTACCATTGAACCAAATGACAAAATAATATATATATCATATATAATTCGCAGCAACGGCATGCGATTTTCATCCCAACACGTGGCATCCTTAAAGCCATGTCACACCGAAGTCGCGGTCAATGACTGCGACTTTCACAAAATCGCAGTCATTGGCTGCGATTTCGGCCTAAAATCGCAGCCATTAAATGCGATTTACCTGAAATCGCATCCAAACCTACATTATTTGTGTCATTTGTTTTTTAAAAATATTATTTTTTAAAAAAATCCGTTTTTACAATGACAGTTAATAAGAACAAGAAGAAGACCAAGATAATCCCTTCTCCTTAGGCCTAAAAATGGCTAGAGAAAGCTATGCTATAAATTTTAAAAGAAAAATAGTAGTAATAATTAAAAAACATAAAAGTATTTCTACTTTTAAATTTGAATTAAATATTTGATTTGGTTTTGATTTTTTGGATTTACATTGATTTCTTTATTTTTTTATTCGACTTTTTCAATCAAATATACTCCATTTTTAAATTACTTATTTTTTTTAACCTAATTTACCTACTTCTCTTTTTTAAATTTAAATTCACACACCTTTTAATAAAATATAATTAAACAATATTAAACTTTAATTTATTAATTCTAATAATTTTAATAATCTTTATTATCTTGTTCCAATATTTCCGTCTATTTTTATAAGTTAAGTTACTGATATTTTTACATGGGATAGTTAAAAGTGATCCATCATAGCTAATTAAGTTATAGTTAAAGTGTTAATTACTAATTCAAACAAATTCCATAAATTTTTATAATTTCCGTAATTTTTTTTCAAAATATCTATCGACATTAACATTTTCATCAACATTTCTGTAAAATCAAACTTTAACATTTTAAACCTTACTAGCAATTAATGCATAAATAAAAATATTTTTGCCAACATGAACATAACTCAACCGTAAAGATTTACTCCTCTCGATAAGGTTTAAATACCCACACTTCACACTGTTGTACTAAAAAATAAAAATATTTTCATTTTGACGGAATTGATCGGGCATACGAACCAATATCAGTTATTTTCCATTCAATTTGTTTGGTTTCGATTAAAATGAGATTGAGGTAGGTCACTTTTAACACTCCTTTATTAAATGATTTAAATCCCATTTTAATTTTGCCATCAAAGTCTCACGTCAACTAGATAAGGGGAATATTATAGGTATATTGAGTTAATGACATCTCTAGTGGTATAAGACTTTTTGAACCCAAAAGTAAAACTACAAGGACTTATGCTCAAATTGGACAATATCGTAAAAATATGAAGAAGACCCAGTTGTCCTAATAAGTGATATTAATTAGAGTCATATTCCAAATTTAACCATATAAGTAGAATCCTCAAGTACGAACAAAGACGCATGATGAGCCTAAAACACATAGCCACTAGAATTGTGAATGAACTCCAAATGTCAAACAAAAAGTGGTAAGTAGTAGAGTTCGGACAGACAATATTAGCTGTTTGATGATGATATTTTTGTCAAGGAGAGAAAAGTTAAAAGGTTGCAGGAATGATCAACATCGTGTAGGGTGAATATCGATAAGTAAAAAATAAAAAAATAAAAAATATTTTAAGCTTCGTACGAATCAGACTGTTTAGGTCGATTTTTCAAGGGGAGAGAGAAATAAAAGGAGATAGGGAGGGACACATTATTCACCAAGACTATATTTTTTAGGAAATTATTATTTTATATATTTTCAAATATAACACAAATTTTTAACTCCTAAAATATATTAGAAAAAATTCAAAAGTATTCTATATTTTCAAAAAATTAAAAGCTGTGATATTTTTAAAAAATACATATTAATTTTAATTTTATGTCATGAAATAAAATTTCTGATTTTTTAATCGAGTCTAATTCAAATGTCATTCTCGAGTGACAAAAATATAGCACAATAAAATATTTATATATATACCATCAGATTTTTAAAATATTTTAAAAAGTTACAGATTTATACATTTATACGAAATCAAGGAAAATCCACTTTTGTGACATTTTAAAAAAAATTAAAAAGTAATTATCCTTTTATAAATTCACATTTTTTTATATTTTAGTGTTATTTCCCTTTTTTTGTTTTTTCTCTCTCTCCCTCACGTGATTCACGTGTCCCTTCCCTCATTCTCTCTCCTCTATTCCCTCACGTGGGAGAATTTTTTTGAATTTAATAATTGATCCGTTGGAATCAGGTCGAATCTAACGGTCACGGGTTTCCAACTTTAAAACACTTTCTATTATATACTAAATAATTTAAACACGTTAACAAAATTGTTCGAATACCCCAATAAATTATTTTCAATTAATATATGTTATTACTATGTATTATTGTACCAATGTCTCTTTTTCTTTTCTATAAATCATACAATTTTTGAGATTCTATAGTAATTCTTTTATACAATTTTTAATTTGAATTTTGCAGAGTTTAGAGAGGTCGGCGATTTGGAGATTGATTGTCTAAGATATATTTTTTTTCTTAACTTTACATCATACGTACTTATCAACGAAGACTTGATCATTCGTTTGCTATATTCTTCTCATAAAAAACTTAATCTACTCCAAGGACCGATCTGTCGAATCCGATATGTCCGATCTACCATCCGACATGAATAACCACCGGTCGGGAGGTATGCTGATTCCCAACTTATAAATAGAAGACAACATTTTCACAACAGGTATCGAATTTCTTCTCGAACTTACTATTGAGTCCGAACTGTTTTACTGATTTGAATGTCGAAGAGTTTGCCCCCTTGTACAGGTTATTCTTGTGTGTTCCGAGTTAGCAAACTTTCGTGTCCGACCTTGACTAGGTCCGACCTCAATCCATTTTCTACATAAAGAGTCGTGATGTGTGCTCTAGAGGAGTGAACGATTATTTGATGAGAGATTACATGAAACTTTGTTCGAGGAAAGAGATGAGACGACTTTTTGGGTGGAATAAAAAAACCTAGGAATTGATTCTTATGTGTTTCTCGACACCAAATATTGTAGGATCAGACAAAATTAGTCGAGGTGCACGTTAACTGGCTCCAACACTTACGAATATAAAAAAAATAATTAAAAAAAGTCATGATCCATATGTTCAATATCTTGCCATTATAAAAATGTAAGGAAGTCCATTATCCTAGGTTAGGCCAGAGTTATTTTAAAAATAAATATTAAAATAGACCATTTTTAAAATAGCTATTTTAAATTACACCTTGCAAAAAAAAAAAAAAAAAAAAATTCTTGTTGGAATCGGATATTTGTAGCACCATTTCCTCGATAAATTTTATCGACCGATTCAACCCTAATCTCTAAATGTCAAATAATAAGACCAATTTCATTTTCCCGTTCTCCAATACATAGGCTAAATCACAACAAAAAATACTCTTGAAAGTTTGTAATTTATTTTTGAAATATTAATATCTTCTCAAAACTTTCCCTAGGACTTTTTATAAATGTTTCAAAAATACCTCTCAAATAAATATCTATTAATATTTTGAATAGAAAATTGACGTGGTAGAATTTAAAACGATGATTAATCAACGATCTCCATTGACAACACAGTTCATATCTCTAGATGTTGCCCTAAAATTCTTCTTTCTCTATGGTCTAACAGAGTTGGCTTCTCCATCATCTACTCAATTTTATCATAATCTCATTTTAAAAAAGGATATATAGCTTCTTCTATATTTTTAAGGATTAATTACTGACATGTGAACTTTCTGTTCAAAATATTAAGATACATTTATTCAAATGGTATTTTTTAGTAGTATTGAAATTTAAAAAAAAAAATGTTATTTTTGCCACAAATGACAAAGTTGAGGTTTTTCTTTTCTTGGTTGTAATTTTGCCAAAATTTTACAGCGAAATGAATCCCCTGTAATTCTTATAGAGGCGGACAATCGAAGTAGCCACTGCGCTTCAATGGAAATCGGAGATCGATGCGACGAAGAAATGGGCCTACGAAGAAACCTTCGTCCACTTCTATCGCATCGCCCGAGGTCATTATCGTGATGCAATCGGGCCCAAATTGGTCCCGCGAGTTCAAATTCTCTATCTCCATTTCCCCCATTTCAATCGCTTCAGTACTACTCGCCCAAAATTCCAATAAAAAAATGGAATCAATGATGCGAAGCTCGTGGAATCTTGGCTTATTTCCTTTGGTGGAAATGTAATGGGTTTGACTGGCGTTGGCAGGTATACTTGCTTTTCCACCATCTTCTCCCGTTTCTGTTGTTTCTCTCTCTGGACAACCATTTCCCACCTACTGTTTTCTGTCTCCTCTGTAGAATAATCATTTATTGTCTCTATTATTTGTTTACGTAATCCAATGCAACTCTCACACCGGTGTGAGGCTGCAACTTTTGGCTAGCTTAGAAAATTAATCTTTCTCGAATGTTAAAAGTGCCCATCTCTCTTCTGTCTTCCCTGGGTTTTTTTTTGTTTTTTTCATTTTGTGATAGCTGAATGACCATTTCAGCAATTATTTAGGGTTTCCCGGTTACTCTTCTGTGATGGGTTGTTGTGGTGCTTCTCTTTCTTGCAGGCTTGGCTTTAGCTGCTGATTTTTATGGTTTTCTTCTTCCAATTTATCACTACCCTTCAGATGTTTGCCTTTCTTTGAATCGAAATTTTGGTGCTTGTGTAAGCTTTTATCACTTGGGAGTTCAAGAGTCACTCATTCAGTCCTCTTCAAGTAGGTTTCTTTGGGTATATCTGAGTTTGTTTTTGCCAATTTAAGTGTTCTGGGAAGATTTGGGAGTCTTCGATCTTTTTCCCCAGAATTCATGTTTTACGCTCCATGTGTGGTTTCTTTCTGATTACTTGATATATTAATAGGTATATTATTCCTTCAGAATTCCCTCGTCCTAGAACCAGTTGAATTTCTTCACTTCAAGCCTTATCTCTTAAGAACCCTTATTTTCTGCTAAAAGTTGAGCGAGTTTTTTTGTTTCCCCTTCACAAGAACTGGTTATTATCTTTCTTTGTAAGTTATGCTTCCAGACTTTCATCCTTGAATGTATTTGATTCTGATAGCTTCCTGTCTTCGTAGCCTTATTTTCTATGTCACTGGCCTGTTGCCTTCCCGTTGCTGAAGGTGTATACTGTTTAGCATGTGCTCGATGGATGTGGTTGAAGTTTCTCTATAATGCTGGCCATGAAAGTGAGAACTGGAGCCTATCGACGACCGAGGAATTTGAACCTATTCCTCGCTATTGTCGATTAATTCTATCTGTCTATGAAGATGATCTCCGGAACCCACTCTGGGCTCCTCCAGGTGGTTATGGAATTAATCCTGATTGGTTAGTACTAAAAAAGGATTATGAAGAGACTCTAGGTCGAGTTTCCCCATATATGATTTACCTTGATCATGATCATGCTGATGTAGTCCTGGGAGTCAGAGGACTTAATTTGGCAAAAGAAAGTGATTATGCAGTTTTGCTAGATAACAAACTTGGGCAGACAAAGTTTTGTGGTGGGTATGTACACAATGGTCTTTTGAAGGCGGCTATATGGATTTTTGATGCAGAGTGTGACGTTTTAAGGGAATTGGTTGAAAAGAATCCAGGTTATACCTTGACATTTATTGGGCATTCCCTAGGGGCTGGAGTGGTGGCATTATTGACCATAATTGCTCTGCAGAAACAGGATAGATTGGGGAACATTCAGAGGAAGAGGATCAGATGCTTTGCTATTGCTCCTCCTCGGTGTATGTCACTAAATTTGGCAGTGAGATATGCAGACGTTATCAACTCTGTAGTACTCCAGGTAGGTCATCAAATATAGCTGCAAAGAAGCTTGTTTCTCCAATGATTATAATTTATAGGTTTGAGTTCTTTGAGGCATTATATTAAGTAAAATTTGATTTTTTTTAATTTTTTATTATTATTTTTTTTGCGGGCTGCATATTAGATTGAAGTAAATAAGGCAGATTTTCAGTTTCATGCTAAAACTTAAAAGAAAAGAAGAAGAAGAAGGAATAATCGATGGATTTTGTGGTTAAATTCAGTCAGAGACGATCTTGGATATGTTTTACTTAAGGGATTCCCTCTGTGTACTGTGTACTCTGTAACCCATCATATTTAAAGCTTTTCATGATAGTGAAAATGTACTGAATAGTTCATCGTTTTAATTAATAGAAACGTTTCAATATTGGAATACTTTCTGAAACTAAGCATCATATGTCAAATCATGTCTTTAATATTAAAATCAACTAATGGGATAGCATCTACCTTCTATGATATTCTCAGAGAAGCAAAGCTCAATGTTTGAAATTTCAGGAATATGGGCTGAAGATGCTTTTCTATGTAATTAAATGAAATTCTAAAACAAGCAGCGGATTTCATATGCTTGATGGTTAAGTTTGCTTGTTGCGTATTACTTCTGCACCATGCAGATATTACGTAGTTTGGTAGACTATTTTTTAAACCCAATTTTATTTTCTTGAAAGCAATATTTCTCCATTTGTTCTTTACTCTCGACATTAATTAATAATTTTCAATGTGCATTGTTGTGATGGACCAGGATGATTTCTTACCTCGAACAACAACAGCTTTGGAAGATGTATTCAAGTCAATTGTCTGGTAAAACTACAATCTTGTTAGCACTGCTTTGAAATTTGTAAAAAAATTATGGACCTATCACACGTAATGTTTGGACAAGCCTGAAAAATACTAATTATAAAAGAACTCAAGGAAAAAATTGATTCTCCAATATTGGACTTTCTGAGGAAGCTCTAGGTTGGAATTTGTTGTTATGACTGCTTCCATGCTAGTGAATTAATCATTCACTTGTTATGGTTTTGATTTCTTACATCATTGATCATAATGATTTGTTATCCTTATCTGAACAGCCTGCCATGTTTGTTATGCCTGATGTGCTTGAAGGATACATGCACTATGGAGGAGAAAATGCTTAAAGATCCAAGACGGCTTTATGCTCCAGGTCGTCTCTATCACATTGTTGAGCGAAAGCCCTTTAGGTATGAAAAGCATTATTTAAGTTCAAGTAGTAAAAAATTGGTTCAGTTAGGGGTGGGTTCCTCACTTGGTGATGTGATGATGCATTATTTACTAGATAGAAAACTCTTAGTTTCAGCTTAAAATGGAACCTAGAAGGGGTGCACTGCACATGCTATCACTTTTTTAAGTCCATATTTTTTCCTTAAGCAACTTCAGTGAATGGCCTCAGCAAAGCCGAAATCAACTACTATGAACTGAAACCTATACATATTTTTCTTTTGTACATCTTGTCCCTTGTGGCCATTCACTGTTAATTTCATTGAGCTGCATTTTCTAATGTGGTCTGCATTGAGTTTGCCTACAGATGATGAAAGGCTATCTTAGGCATGTTCATCCAGGGAAATCTTCAGATAAACCTAACATTATTTGGTCTAGTGCCATGCTTGCTATTGCTTAGACGCGACTAGAAAGAAATTGGTGAATGTTTGAAGACAGATGCTTGACATACTTGATTTGATGGATTCTATTATATTTACAGTCTTAATGTGGTATTCTTTGTCCAAATCATTTAACTGAAGAGCTTGTTCATAGATTGATAGATCTAAACCTTTAAGAGAATATTTAATCTTCCCTTTTGTACTCCTTGGATAAAGAAATTGTACGATGGACCTTGCAGGCTAGATTAGGTTTTCATTGTTGGTGCCTTTGGTGATCAATGTCTAATCCAGCAGCCCAAAATTAGCTTAGAGTGCCTGAAATCAACCTTCACTTTTAATTACGATGAGTCCCTCAAGCCTGTGCTTTTAGTTATGTATGCTCACTTGTTCACGTGGTCTCCAATTTCTCACCCTTTTTTTGGGGGGTTCCTGCTACAAAATTTTGTTGTTTTATGCTTTTTCCCTTCTGGTACTACTTGTTCTTTTACCTGATTGTCAGTAGGTTTCCCCTGGCATCGTGAAGCTATAACCATTTGGTACAATGCTATTAGTTTCTTTTGTTAGGAGATTTTTTGGGAAAAATAAAAACAGTAGGATTTTCACGAGGATCGGGATCATCTGTTGAGGCCTTGCTCTTTTAGCTCCGACTGCTTGTTAAGGTTCCTGGATGCATTTGGAGTTTGTTGGTGTTTTCATAAAATTTGTATTCAGAATATCATTCAACTATTGTGTGAACACTTTTTAGAAGTTGGTAGGACTTTCTAATAAAGTCATTAGTTCTGCGGCCAACAGTAATATGTCACCAGTCAACCTGCTTTCATGACTCGTGAGAGTACTCTTTCCATTCAGAGCTTCGGCCAGTTGAGCTGGGCTACTTCCTGAATGAAACTAATAAAGTATAAAGGTAAGAACCTTTAATAAATAATATAAATTGAGTACGTCGGTATGGAGTATATAGACTAGGCTAAGGGTCCGACTTGCTAAAAAGAGGTGTGTGTGGCCAGGCTTCCTTCTTTAGTACTGCCTGCTCCTTTCTTCATTTAGGTGCTACTTAGCCCTATAAAGAATGAAGTACGACACCCGACATTAACACTGGAGATAAGGCTGTTGTTGCTGGAAGCCTTATGGAAACAACTTCCCTTTGAGTGGAAGAAACAGATCCTCCAGTTCGTTTTACTTACGATAGAAAGACAACAAGGGGATCGGGGATCTCGAATGTTGTTATTGTTTTCCTTGTAAACATGACATTCTCCATTGCAGGTTAGGAAGATTTCCTCCAGTTGTGAAGACAGCAGTGCCTGTAGATAAGAGGTTTGAGCATTTAGTCCTTTCTTGCAATGCTACTGCAGACCATGCCATCATCTGGATAGAGAGAGAATCTCAGAAGGCCCTTGATGTAAGTTCCCAACTTCTCTCTCTCTCTCTTTGTTCCATTAAATGATAAATTCTTACTAGGAAATCTTTACAAGTTTGAAGTGCAACTGCTCAAAGTTCCAAACAGGCCCTCAACGTATTAATCGATATTCTCGAGTTCTCAGTGTCAATTATGAACCATTGGACAAATAGCAAAGGACTTGGAGGGAATGAGTTCAAACCATAGTGACCATCTACCTAGGATTTAATATCYTACGAGTTACCTTGTCAACCAAATGTATAGTAGGGTCAGGTGGTTGGCTCGTGATTAGTCGAGGTGCGCGCAAGTTGGCCCAGACACACGAATTTAAAAAAAAAATTATGAACCATTGGACACTAACGCCTCACTTAGGTCTAAATAATGGTAGATTTGATAGTACGTAAACGGGCACGAACTTGATGTTGAACAATTTTTTCTAATGATTCATATTAGTTTTGGCAATGGGGCATTGCATAAACTGAATTGGTTTGAAGAAAAGTTTGTGTTCTTTCCCCTCCCCAGATCATGATGGAGAATGATAAAGCCATGGAGATCCCTGTGCAGCAGCGGATGGAACGCCAGGCTTCGATACAGCGAGAACACGGTGAAGAGTACAAGGCAGCCCTCGAGCGCGCTGCTGCATTGGAAATCCCCGACGAGAACTTACCACTCTCATACGGAACGTTCAGTGAATTAGAAGAAGGTGAGAATTCTAGCCAATCGATAAGAGATTCATTGGTAGCATCATCCGCGAAACAAAGGGAAAGTTGGGATGAATTCATAAATCGTTTTTTTGACGAGGATCAGTCTGGTCAAATGGTGTTGAAGAAATCATAAGCCTTTGTGAATTTCTCAGGAGGAAATAGCAACTGCAAGAAGCATTGGTTTAAGTTTTTAACTGTACAAAGAACAGAGAGATTTAGTTTTTTTTTCTTTTTGCCCCTTCATTTTGTTGCTTTGCTTCATCTGGTAAGCATAAGCCATAGCCTAGAAAATGACCTTGGGGTTGAATTGGTTTTTATTTTATTACTATCATTTATTTATTTATTTTATAAGATATAGTGAATAAGATTTTACATTCATAAATATAAAATTTTGAGATTATTCTTGAATGTATTTGATGTTATCTATAAAAATAGACTCGTTTGTTAGCCAATTTATCTTTTAAATGGTCAAATTAACAGAATATTTCTTTCATTTTTCAAAATAAATCTTGGAAGGCCTTGAATTTGTAATCATCCAATTGATGAGTACACCAATGTTGATATCTAAGCATTCCAAAAATTAATTTGAATTTGAATTTATTTACTCTATTTCCAAAAAGGAAAGTAGAATTGGAAAGTATGTTTAATTTTTAAAAAATAGGAAACTATAAACATAAGAGCATCACAACTTAAATAAATAAATTTTTTTAATATTTTAATTAAAAATATCATTAGTACAATTTTTAGTTAATATATTTATAATTAGCTAGAAATAAAAAATAATATTCTAACCATCATTAATTATCTGATTATTATTCCAATTCCAAGCAGTTTAATAAATAACATGAATAAATTTTAAATTTGGATTCCGTAAGATTTATAGTAAATAACATTTTATTATGATTGATTTTCATTTCAATTCGTAAACCAAGCCTCGAGAAGAAATTGGAGGGAATTTGAGTCCAAATATTCCTTTTCAAAGCCTAAACTGAAGGGATTCAAAAGACAGTTTGGTGGTTGGGCCAAATTGCCATCAATTGTAAAAGGGTGATTTCAATATTAATAATGCCATAGAATAATAATACCTTTTACAACTGCTGTTTAATCATATCGTTGCAACAGCTACATCTAATTTGACAATAAATATGGACTCAATATCTCGAATTTTCCATTTGAAAACTAATAAATATTAATTACCCTCATCTGCAACTGTATTGACAACTCCCAATATTTGTGGAGAGAGATGAATTATACATCTTCTTTCTGTTCTGGCTATACCAGTAGATCGTGTACTGCTTCTCCTGCATTGGGCAGTTACAAATTTGTCAATGGGAGAAGAAGATTTACAGATGAAGAATGACAATTGACAACTATTAGTGAAAGGATATGGTTCCAGAGAGAGAAGTTGCGGTCGAGAGCTTTACCGTGCATTCTCTTGACAAATCGTTCGAATTCCATGAAGTTTTGTCTTTCCAAAAGAACTGGACTGAGCCTGTGATAGATAAAGGATGACATATATCTCCCATCTGGGTCGGCCAGGGGCTTGGCGTTATCCAATATCTTGTTATAACCTACTCTGTCGAGGAAAGGAAGAGCGTTCTCACTTACAACTTCTACACCGACGTCCCATGCAGCATTCGTCACCTGGATTGTCAGAGCGATTTGGTAAGCAGAGAAAGTGTAGGGCTTCCCCCAGTATGCATATGGGCAGAAAAAATAGAGATTATAAGTGATATTGAAACATATCAGTATAGAACTTCATTCTTACTTGCCAGACTAACGCCTCAGGATCAGACAGCGCATTTGCAAAGTCTTCGTGCTGGTCTAACATGTGGAATCCAGCAGAAGTGAAGTTCAAAGCAGCAGAATGCTTTTTCAGCATTGCCATAATTGCAGCATAGCCATCACGATTGCAAGGGTTATAGAACCCGGCAGTCAATTCAGCTGCATGACTCGCTGTCTTGTACCACCAGTGAATACCTGAGAACTGCTCAGCAATTAAACTACAGCAGGTGGCACGAATCAAGCAATACTAGTTATTAAGCCAATGAGTTCGCAGCAACAGAAAAGTTCAAACTTCAGAACGGGTTCAACGTTCAAATGGAAAGTTCACAAAAGAATGTAGCAAAGATGATTCAAAAGTCAATTTTGCTACTAAAATATATAATGCAAGTTAGCAAAATTCAGGCTAAAGAAATTCAAATAAACGTGTATTCTCTGTAAATAACAGAAGCTCTTTTACCTTGGCAACAATGCGGGTTCCTTCAAAAGCCAACTTTGCCAGATAAAGTACCCGATCACCGTGACCAACTAAAACTTGGGAGTACCAATTAAGGAAGAATCTGCCATAGTAGCCATCATAATCACCTCCATCACAAAAGAAACCTGTTTCATGTGGCCTCGAGCTATAGGAACCTGCATTATCTGGCCCTCTAGCCCAGAAGGAGTGTCCCCTTGCTTCTGCTGCTTTCCTCAAATTTTTCAACAAATACTGATCATAACACTGAAACGAGGAAACTTTTAGAATCAGATTAATAAACAAAAGATTTGGGAGGCAGATGAGATATTATTTACAACAAAACGTAGGTAGAGTTGGGGGGGGAAAAAGACTGCAGCTTGTTTTTTTTTTAATTTTTTTTATAACTGAAAGTCAGAGCTTTGCTCCCTTAGGCCTGTCCCAAGGCCCGGACCTAGGAGACATCAAGAGTTTTTGGTATTAAGCTTACTGGAAGATTCAAACTTGAGACCTTTAAACCTGTATGCCCAAAAGACCCCAAGCCCTTACCAACCGGACTATCCCTTGGGGACAAGACTACAGCTTGTTATTACATCTAAAATGATTAGGGAGGTCATGCTCAATTCCCAGAGTAAAAAGACAATCCTTTGTTATTTGGTTTTGATGGAAATGGTGGAGTCAACAGACAAAAATCGTTCCAAACAGTAATTTTAAGGTTTGAGAAAGCATTAACACAATCCAGAAAATTGCAAAAAGAAGTTCCAATTGCAAGAAAATCTCATACTGAAACATGGTGCAGCATAGTACCTGGAATTCACCAATGCCAGGACATCTCCAGCCATGCTTAACAGGACAGGATGGAAATCTAAGCTCCCCACATGGTCCCAAACCGACTCCAATTGTTGTGATGACACCATCTTCGAAGAATTCATTAAATTTGACACGAAAGCTTCTCATGTAGTCAAAGTAAACCTATATGCATTTACCCAATGAAAGAAGATCAGCATCCTGAAAATTTCAGCTCCAGGTAGCAAGGGAAATTCCAAACTATAAAGTCTTTAGTTGGTTGTTTGGTTGTTGATTGTTGGTTGTATGATAAAGATATACTCCTGAAGTAAGACATGTTTCCTAAATATGGCTCCACTTTACGGTAATGAATCTGGCTGGAATTAAGCATCCCATAAAACAGGCTTGTTTCTCTAATTTCAATTATGCTCAAGTTTAATTCATTTCTTTACAATTAAAAATGACCTCAGCATAATCTTTATATATGTTACCTCAAGACCTGTCCGGCCTCTTAACACTCGCTCTTTATCAACTCCCCACGAGAGACATTCAGGATTGCGTCTTCCCTCTCTATCAGTAAAGAATATGTCGGGATTACTCCGACCAATTTCGGCAACCCAGTGGGGTAGTGGAATACAAACTTCATCACCAACATTGCCTCCACATTCATGAAAAGACAGCACAACCTGAATCGTAGAACCAGACATGAATTTTCAATTAACAAAAAGTTTTAGAATGTAATTCAAAAAACTACATCAAACTACTCAAATAGTAGGGGGAACTAAGATTTAATAAGTTAGTAGAGTTTCACGTTAAGAAGAAAACCAAGCACAACTAATAAAACCTCAACAGGAATTTTAATCAACCTCCTAACGATTGGCTGAAACAGATATTCAACACATCCAAAAAGTCAGCATTACTCAAAATTTTGCAAGTTAAAACATTTAAAACCCTAAACTAATAATTATATCAAGTGGGTGTAAATTTTAGAGGAAATATTAGATTAACGAAATATTAGAGGAAAATTTTGAAATCAAGTGGATGGTGGCGATTTTCATCCACGAGTAGAGAAAAATAGAAGAAGAGAAGATAAAAATCTGCCTAAGAAAGCCACTACCACCCACTTAATTTTAGCATTTCCTACTAATATTTTGTTAATCTTGCATTTAAAGAAGTCTACATGCATGTAAGAATTCTGAATTAACGGTTTTTCAAATGGAACGATAACGGAAGGTGTAAATTGATTTGCTTATGAAAGTTTAGACTTCAGAGTCATAATTGATACAATTATTAGTTTAGGGTTTTAATTGGTTAAACCTATTAGGTGTATAAATTGATTCCCCCCCGCCCCCTTGTTTTTCTATTGAAATGAATACTATAAGGTGAGGATTAAGAAAGATATGTGAATGAAATATCGCCAGTCCTTAGCATTAGGAGACAACAAAACAATCATGTCATTCTACAGGAGAGAAAAAAATGAGCAGTACGAGACAATAGCTTCACCTGTAATTTGAGCTTCAATTCATGCACCATCTGAAAAAGTCTCCTGTAGCCATTCCAATTATATTCCTGTGGAGAATGAGCTTCAACTATCCCCCACCAACAATCAACCATGACACCATCAACATTAACTGATTTCAGCAGCCTTAGCTGCTTAAGCAACCCGTCTGGATCAACTAGCTCGCACTTCATATTAATGACACCAAACTATCACCAGAAAAAGGTTACGTAGTACCTCCAAAATATAATGTATAAGCAACCAAGGATCTCCACCAATGACCCCTTATCAACACCAAAAGATGCTTTCTCACAGAAGACTGAATCATAGCGTACTTGTGGGGAACAGAATTTCAAAGTACTCAAAATAGATTTACCAAATCCAACTTAATCAGTAAGAAATAAAGGACACTTACAGGTAGCATCACATAAACTGGAACATAAGCACTCCCAGCAAAATCACGTTCGGGTAATTTTAGTGTTGCGTCAACCATCTACAATGAACAAATACAATATAATTTTCAATATATAGCGAAAGAATTATTTTCATTGTTAATGAAATATATGAACATTAATCAGGCTGGCACTTGCAATAAGGAGCTAAAAGTACCGATCACTGTTTTCAAACGCTTTGAGTAGCTTAATATGTGATGTGATTTTTGGTACTTGAGTTCAATAAGGCATTTGAATTACATATGAACTAAGTGAGGAATAAGCATATCCACGAGATCAATCAGTGTCCCTCACAGAAAGAGAAGGAATAACAAGATCAAACCCGGAGATGGGCATTGACACATACGAAATCCGAAGAATCAATTTGATTACCTGCATTCCATCTACAGCATCAACTGAACTATTGATAAGGGGATGACCAACTG